TTGGCCACTCTAACTGTGAAGAAGTTCTTCCTAATGTCTAGTCTAAATCTGCTCTCTGCTAGCTTGTGGCCATTATTTCTTGTAACCCCCAGGGGTGCCTTGGTGAATAAAACCTCACCAATTCCCTTCTGTGCCCCCGTGATGAACTTATAGGCAGCCACAAGGTCGCCTCTCAACCTTCTCTTGTGGAGGCTGAAGAGGTCCAGATGCCCCAGTCTTTCCACATAAGGCTTGGCCTGCAAGCCCTTAACCATATGAGTGGCCCTTCTCTGGACCCTCTCCAGGTTATCCACATCCCTCTTGAAGTGTGATGCCCAAAACTGCACGCAGTATTCCAACTGCAGTCTGACCAGCGCCTGATAGAGGGGAAGTACTACCTCCTTGGATCTGTTCGTCATGCATCTGCTGATGCACGATAAAGTGCCATTAGCTTTTCTGATGGCTTTGTCACACTGCCGACTCATGTTCATCTTGGAGTCCACTATTAGACTTAACTGATTTGGCTCAAACTGACTCATGCAATGTCTGTCCCAGCCCCTTCCTGGTTTAACTTAAACTAGAGCCCCCAGCATCCTGGCATGCTCTCTGGGCTGGGCTGGCCCTGCCATGCTGCTACCAAGCCAGATCAGCGACAGGCAGGAGCAGGGGCTGGCCAGAGAGGAGTTTCATTCCCCGCTCCGTTGCTGCTGCACCCTCTGGCGTCTGGTGGAGGGGGATGGAAGGGACCAGAGCTGGGTCTTCCAGGTGCACCTCCCCGCCCGCCCCGGTGTTGCATCCACAGGCCAGTGTGGCCCTCGAGCCAGAGTGGGCAGGGTGAAGGGTTATTCTTTCCTCTACCCCCACTGTTCCTGGAGGACTGCAGCTGGGTCTGCCTGTCCTGACTGCTGCTGAGCAGCAGAATAAGCCCCATCCTGTCCCCTCTGCCAGATGCCAGAGGGAGGGGGAATAACTCAGGTCCTTGTCCCCTCCCAACGTGCCCTGCCACCTGGTGTATGGCCCTGCCAGGTGGGGGCTAGCTGGGAAGTGGGCTTCCCGGGCCAGCTAAGAGGTGGTGGTGGGCCCTGAGTGCAGCAGCCACCACTGCCGTGCCCCCTGCCCTGTGCAGCACCTGGGGTTGCAGCCTAACAAGCAGATGCAGGCTGGCTGGGGCAGGAGGCCATTCTGCCCCCCTCTTCTGCAGCTGCCACTGCCACCGCCACACTGCCCCATGCTGCTGGGGTACAGGGCCAGGAAGCTTCTGCTCTGCACATGGAGCTCTGACACCAGCTCCTGGATGCCTTGGAAGGTGGAAGGCTTCAGTCTGGGGGCTGCCACGAGCTCCACACACAGGGCATAAGCCACAGGGCTGAAGATTCCCCATTCTGCCCCCCTCTTCTGCAGCTGCCACTGCCACCGCCACACTGCCCCATGCTGCTGGGGTACAGGGCCAGGAAGCTTCTGCTCTGCACATGGAGCTCTGACACCAGCTCCTGGATGCCTTGGAAGGTGGAAGGCTTCAGTCTGGGGGCTGCCACGAGCTCCACACACAGGGCATAAGCCACAGGGCTGAAGATTCCTCCCCTCCCCCCACTCCCCGCCTCCACCTCCTGGAGAGGCTTAGGAGCAGCAGGGATGGGAGGGGGGGTTACTGCAGCAGGCGAGGAGA